CCTAAATAATAAGGCAGTCGTAAAACAAAAGCCTCTAGACATCAACTAGTCATGATGATTAATACACGTTCCACCTTCCTCCCCAACTTGATAAGTAGGAAAGCTACAATGCGCCATAATGTCTCCCTTCTGATGTAAAAATATTTAATATTGATATGGAAATTGACAATAACCTTTGCAAGGTTGGCAAACCCAAAAAAGTTACTAAATAAAGATTTTACTTACTATGGTGATAGAAAAATAGAAAGATAAAAAATTGGAAGATAAAAAGAAATCTAAATATGATGAACAATTTTATAAATATGCAACACAAGCTCATACTTCTTCGATTTTCTTTCATTTTTCTTTATTTGGAGTGATTTGTTTTTGTTAATAAGTGTGAAAAGTGATAATTTTTTTTTTCTGAATTTTCTTTTCTACCAAACATACCTAAACTTTATTATTTTCCACTTTTTTACTTTCTTTTATTCATCCTTTCACTTTTTTATTCTACAGAGTACATCCTAAACTGTTTTGGCAAGATAAATAAAAATTAGCTTTTCCAAAGAAAAAACTGTTTTGGTAAAAAAAATTGAAGCTATTAAAATGGAAAATAAAGTATTCTAAAAAATTAAAATATAAAAAGCAAACCAAAATCTTTAATTAGGATTTAGGAATGGAAAAAAAAAAAGAATAAGTACTAATTTTTATTGGAAGTGTTGCTATAAGACATTAATGATTTTATAATTTAGATAGAATTTTTTTTCTATTAGAGTCTCTGCTTATTTTTCCGCAAAAATGATTTACAAGAAGCCTCATGGAAAGTATTTTCTTGCTGCTCGAATTTGACTAGTACATCAAGCTTGAGTGAGCCATTTTCAATGAATTTTTAAGAAACAACGCTATATCTTTTTAAGTGGTTTTCTAGTATATAAACCCCAAAGATGTAGTGATGCCAAATGCATAGTGGCAGATTTAATATTAAGTTGTTTGAGAGTGTGCATTAATTAAATGCGATTGAGTGAAAATAGTTAGGGGTGATTCTGGTAGTGTTTCTCTTAGGAAGGTGTTATGAATGTGAAGGGTGCTAAGAGTAAGAAAAACTGCTCTCTTGCAACTCAAATCTTTCTTTACTCATATTATAGATGTAGAAAATTATTGGATTGGAGGAGGAAAAATAAAGTTTGGATTGTTGTCAGTGAAAAAGGGTTGACTGCAACAACTTCATGCGCATTGGATTCAGCAATTATGGGAATGATATGTTGCTAGAAAAAACAAAAGCTTTGTCCATCTTGATCAGAAACAGAACGTAGCCTACACCTTGGTGGTTTTACACTGGTATGAATACATTGTTCATGTCTGCCATTGCTCAAAAAGTTTGCTTTAGTGATCTTTTTGTTTTGTAAAATTATGGAAGCTACACTGAAATGCATCTCGGATTCTACAGTAATTGATTATTGATCGCTAAGAAATTAAATTAAATAATTTCGTGCAATTTAGTTTAAAATATCTAAACTATAAAAAATTAAATAGGAGGGTTGGATTTATTAAAAAATATAACAAATATTCTTCAAAAATTATAAAATTTACAAAATTCTACAAAAATTATAAATTTTACAAAAAAATTAAGAATATTATACAAACTTATTGAAAAGACAGAATCTAAATTGTTTAAAGAGATATTTACATATAATTTTTGTTAAAACAAAAACTAATCAAATTTATATTATTTTAAAATTAAAAAATACCTTCAAACTTGTTATTGAGAAAAAAAAAGTATATTACTAGTATACCTATTTCTTTTTCTTAGTAAATAAATTTTAAAAAATACATATTTATCAAATATTTAACAAAAAATAAATAGATATTATCATAATGAAATCAATTCTTAAATAAAAAAAAATTATATATTTTAACTCCCTTGCATAGCGAATAGTTTTCTGGTTTCAAAAAAAATTTTGTGTCAGTTGACGTCAAGTCAAAATCTATTGATAGGCGATAAACCATTCATCGAGTAGAATCAAGATACATATCAAACAATGTAATAAAGTTAACTCTTTGTTTTTATTTAACTACTACCATGCTAAATTTATATCCTTCAAGGAGTAAAGGGTGGGGAATCCACCATCCTATCATGAGGATGGCGTGTAAACCGATCCAGGGTTTTATTTTATGGTTGATGCCAAAGTCAAGGTCTCCTAAATAATAATGCAGTCATAAAACAAAAGCCTCTAGACATCAACCAGTCATGATAATTAATACACGTTCCACCTTCGTCCCCAACTTGATAGGTAGGAAAGCTACAATGGGCCATAATGTCACCCTTTTGATGTAAAAATATTTAATATTGATATGGAATTTGACAATAACTTTTGCAAGGTTGGCAAACACAAAAAAGTTACTACATAAAGATTTTACTTTCTATGGTGATAGAAAAATAGAAAAATAGACAATTGGAAGAAAAAAAAAAGGTAAAAAAAAAAAGAAATATATATTATTTTTATTGACGTGCTTAGTTAAAAAATAGAAAAATTGAAAGAAAATTTATTTTTTTTTCATCTATTGCTTGATAGAATTAGAAAAAGAAAGAAAAAAAAATATGATTTTACAATTATAAATTTTTGTAAATTAAGATAAAAAAAATATAAATATGATGAACAATTTTATAAATATGCAACACAAGCTCATACTTCTTCTATTTTCTTTCATTTTTCTTTATTTGGAGTGATTTGTTTTTGTTAATAAGTGTGAAAAGTGATAATTTTTTTTTCTGAATTTTCTTTTCTACCAAGCATACCTAAACTCTATTATTTTCCACTTTTTTACTTTCTTTTATTCATCCTTTCACTTTTTTATTCTACAGAGTACATCCTAAACTGTTTTGGCAAGATAAATAAAAATTAGCTTTTCCAAAAAAAAAAAACAACTGTTTTGGTAAAAAAAATTGAGGCTGTTAAAAGGGAAAATAAAGTATTCTAAAAAATTAAAATATAAAAAGCAAACCAAAAGCTTTAATTAGGATTTAGGAATGGAAAAAAAAAGAATAAGTACTAATTTTTATTGGAAGTGTTGCAATAAGACATTAATGATTTTATAATTTAGATAGAATGTTTTTTTCTATTAGAGTCTCTGCTTACTTTTCCGCAAAAATGATTTACAAGAAGCCTCATGGAAAGTATTTTCTTGCTGCTCGAATTTGACAAGTACATCAAGCTTGAGGGAGCCATTTTCAATGAATTTCTAAGAAATAACGCTATATCTTTTTAAGTGATTTTCTAGTATATAAACCTCAAAGCTGTAGTGATGCCAAATGCATAATGATAGATTTAATATTAAGTTATTTGAGGGTGTGCATTAATTAAAAGAGATTGAGTGGAAATAGTTAGGGGTGATTCTGGTAGCGTTTCTATTAGGAAGGTGTTATGAATGTGAAGGGTGTTAAGAGTAAGAAAAACTGCTCTCTTGCAACTCAAATCTTTCTTTACTCATATTATAGATGTAGAAAATTATTGGATTGGAGGAGGGAGAATAAAGTTCGGATTGTTGTCAATGAAAAAGGGTTGAGTGCAACAACTTCATGCGCATTGGATTCTGCAATTATGGGAATGATATGTTGCTAGAAAAAACAAAAGCTTTGTCCATCTTGATCAGAAACAGAACGTAGCCTACAGCTTGGTGGTTTTACACTGGTATGAATACATTGTTCATGTCTTCCATTGCTCAAAAAGCTTGGTTTAGTGATCTTTTGTTTTGTAAAATTATGAAAGCTACACTAAAATGCATCTCGGATTCTACAGTAATTGATTATTGATCGCTAAGAAATTAAAATAAATAATTTTATGCAATTTAGTTTAAAATATCTAAACTATAAAAAATTAAATAGGAGGGTTGGATTTATTAAAAAATATAACAAATATTCTTCAAAAATTATAAAATTTACAGAATTCTACAAAAAATTATAAATTTTACAAAAAAAATTAAGAATATTATACAAACTTATTGAAAAGACAGAATCTAAATTGTTGAAAGAGATATTTACATATAATTTTTGTTAAAACAAAAACTAACCAAATTTATATTATTTTAAAATTAAAAAATACCTTCAAACTTGTAATTATATGTTATGAATTCCACAAAATATTAAATTATAATTGATTAATTGTATTATAATAATTATAAATAATATGCTTCCCTTTTAATAGATCATAAATCATTCGTAAAGTAAAATCAACAAACGAAGCAAATAGTATAATAAGGATAACTCATTGTTTTTGTTTGACTACTATCAAACTAAATTTATATCTTCCAGGGAGGAAAGGGGATGGGAAGAGAATCTACCATTCTATCATGAGGACGGCGTATAAACTGATTCATGGTTCTCTTTCATGGTTGACACGTAAGTCAAGTCTCATAAATAATAATCAGCCTGTTAAACAAAAGTTTAGGCATCAGCTAGTCATGGCAATTAACATACATGCATCAACTAGTCATAGCAATTAATATCTATTCCACCCACCTCCCCGACTTGATAGGTAGAAAAGCTACAATGGGCCATAATTTCTCCCTTTAGATGTGGAAATATTTAATATTGATATGGTATTTGATAACAACCCTAGCAAGGTCGGCTAGAAAAAAAAATTACTAAATTAAGGCTTTGTTCGTATAGCGATACAAATTTGAAAGGATAAAAAATTAGAAGAAAAGAGAAGTGAAAAGATGAAAAATATATATTTTTTCTTTTGATGTGCCTGGTTAGACAAATGAAAAAATTGAAAGAAAAATGCAATTTTCTTTTCATACTTTGCTTGTTAGAGTTAAAAAATGAAAAAAAAATGATTTTTATCATTATAATTTTTTGTAAATTAAGATAAAAAGTTAAAATAAAAAAGCACAACAAAAGCTTTAATTAGGATTTAGGAATGGAAAAAAAAAAGTGAGCATTAATTTTTGTTGACAGTGTTATTATAAGACATTAATGATTTTTTAATTTATATGAAGTGTTTGTTACTTTTAGAGTTTCTGCTTACTTTTCCACGAAGAAGATTTGCAAAAAACCTCATAGAAAGTATTTTCTCGGAGCTATGAAATTTGACAAGTGTGTCAAAATTAAATGGGCTCTTTTCAATAAAGTTTTGAGAAATAAGTCTATATCCTTTCAAGTGACTTTCTAATATATAAACCCCAGGGGTGTAGTGATGCCAAATGCATAGCGACAGAGATAATATAAGTGATCTGAGAGTGTGCATTAATTAACTGAGATGGAGTGGAAATGGTTATCGGTGGTTCTGGTAGCGTTCCTATTAGGAAGGTGTTGTGAATGTGAAGGGTGCTGGGAGCAAGAGAAAATTGCTCTCTTGCAACTGAAACCTTTCTTTACTCATATTACAGATGTAAAGAATTATTGGGTGGAAGAGGGAAAACAGAGTTTGGATTGTTGTCAATGGAAAAGGGTTGAGTGCAACAACTCTACTGGACGAGTGATCCGACTCTTCCTTAATCTTACAACTACAGAAGTCTATCGTGGTTTAGTTCATAGTTATTATGGAGAGTATGATTGGATTGAAAAAGATCATTGGTATCTCAATGCCTCTTTGTTTCTTCCCTTTGAGGAATTGAAGAGTCTTTATTTGGGTGGCAATTCCATAATTGGTTGTGTTGGCAATGAAGGTTCATTGATGTTCACCTTATTAACTGCAACTTTAATAAATTTTGCATTTTAAAATTTTTTTTTATTACTTGTTTAGTTTATATCTAAATTCTATATTTTTCCTTGTAGGTTTTGAAAGGCTGTCATCGAAACTAGACAAACTAGAGATCCTTGACTTAAGTGTTAATCAATTCAATGATAACATTTTAGCATCTTTAAGTGAACTTTCATCACTCAAGTCTTTAAATTTAGCAAAAAACCAATTCACAGGGTCAAATCCTGCAAATGGTAAAGTTAATATTATGTTTTATATAAATTAGGTTGAAGTAAATAACTTTTGTTTTGTAACTATTTTTATGTGTGTGTGTGTATAATAGTGATTATATACTAAGATTTTGCATTATTATTGGTAGCAGGTATGAAGAGGTTATCAAAACTGAACAAGTTAAAGACTCTGGATTTACATGACAACGTACTAGGAAACAACATCTTATCACATCTAGACGATTTTACATCTTTAAAATCTTTGCTTTTGCAGAATTGTGGAATAAAAGGAATGGTTGATTTGCTTGGTAGGATTGTTTTAATTTGAAATCTCATGCTTTTAAAAGGAATAATTGGACTGATATATATTTGGTTGGATTTGAACAGAACTGAATAGTTTGATGAATTTAAAGGAGTTGTATTTAGGCCAAAATCAAATTGAAAGTCTGGGATTTTTATTCCAAAGTGTAAGTCAACATATATAATTAACTAGCATTATATATTTGTTTTTCAAACATATAAAAAATTTGAGTAGTAAATATATAAAGAGTATAATTGAAATATTCTTTTGGAGATGAAATCACGTTACTGATCTTTTATAGAAAGGACAATTGAAGTTGATCAAACTTGAGGTGCTTGGTTTAAGTGAAAATCTCTTCAACAACAGTATATTCTCCTCCCTTGCTGCACTCTCAAATTTAAAGTCTTTATATATAGGATTTAACAAATTGGAAGGGCCAATACATATTAAAGGTAAATATGGTTTAAAATATATGTTTGGTTTTTATATGTATGATTTATTAATTACTAGTTTTCTTTGTAATTCTATTTTCAGAATTAAATGCTTTGAGCAATTTAGTGGAGTTGGATATGCGAAATAATGAAGTAAATTACTTTGTTCCATCCCAAGGTATTTAATACAATTTGTTAGGAAATGTATAATTTATATGTTCACAAACTGATCTATATATGTCAGCGGAAAAATTTGTACTCTTCAAGAAAGAGTTTTCAAGATTTTAAGATTAAGAAATTAAAAATAATAAAATTAATTATGTAAAATTATTTTTATATAGATAATGAAACGAAACTAAGGTTGATCAATCTAGAAGTGCTTGATTTGAGATGGAATCTCTTCAACTGTAGCATATTATCATCCCTTGGTAGACTTTCAAATCTAAAGTCTTTGTCTTTTGGAGGCAACAACTTGGAGGGATCAATAGATCTTAGAGGTAAAATTACTCCTTCTCTTTCTATTCTCTCTCGAAAGTTATTGAATGATATCCTATTATTATATAATACATAAATATATGCTTTTAAAGTCCAGATGTTAGAATATTACATTTTATTTTAATTTGATTACATTTTTCCTCAGGGTTAGATGCTTTGAGCAACTTGGAGAACCTCTTTATATCTTGCAATGACCCCAATGGCACCAGAGGTACCGCTAAAAAAATAGTGTCTTTATCAATTTGGTCATGCATGTTTGAACTAATTCTCCTCTAAATACATTAAGAAATTAAAATTCAAACTGACCGAAACTTTTGCCCTTTTTTCAATTTAGATAATCTTTTTATTTCAGTGAATAATTAGTAATGTTAATAAATTATATATCAATATTAAATTGCTCTTGTATATGTACACTTTTGCTAGACAATATTGTACTTCTCTAACACTGATTGTTAATGAAATTTTGGCTATACAAAAATAAAAAACCACGATTTTGTTTGATTATTTTTTATTGAAAAAATTAAAAGCAAATTTAAATTGGCTGCAACGCAATATTAGGCCTTTCTCTGTTTTGAATTAAAAGATTACATTTACTTTTTCAGGAAAGTACATTTTGGTTTAAGTTTGTGGGTTTAAAGATTTATAATATATGTATTTACAAATCATACAGGAAGATTTAACTGTATTACTAACTTCTTTGTATTCCATCTTGAAATAATTCCTTCACTTGCAGCTTGTAGCCTTCCACCGCAATCATTGGAATTGTTCCCGTCGTTGAAGACTCTTTCATTTTATGGTTTTAGTTTTTATGGAACATTAACTACTCGTAAGTTATGATGATTATATGCAATGCTTTGCTTTTATAATTACTATTATTACCTACTCTTGTTTAACCAAGGAAAGGCACTGGTCAAACATTTATTTTACTTTTTATCTGTTTCCTACTTGAATTAAATACCTTTTACCACCATGCCACCTCATTTCCAAATTTATTTTCTTATTTTTTATTTTTTATATGAGCCAAATAAAATTATTATTATTATTTTAATAGTATTTCTTAACTTTTTTACAATACTGATAAATAATAGATTTAAAATCTAAAATGTAAAAAAAAATAATATGAAAAATTTTTAAACAAGAATTGAAGGTGTCAAAAGGAAATAAAAACAATTTTGAGACAATCCAAAAAAAAAATATGGAGATTTAATTTGAAAAAAAAAAAATAGGAGTATGTTTTTTAATTTGTTTTTCTTATGTTGATTAATATGTTTTTTCTATTAATTTTTTTATTTGAAAGGTAGATAACTGTTATTAATGAATTATATCACTTTTATTCTTTTCTTTATTACTTCTAAATATTCAAAACTCTTTTTTACCCAAACTATCAATTTTTTATTTTATTTCATTTTAATTCCATTTACTTTCTTTATTTTTAAATTATTGTTTAATTTTGTTAAAATTATTTTTGTTGACAATAGAATATATTATTTGAAAAATATAAAAAAGTATAAAATTATATGAAAAATATTTTAAAATAACAAAAAAATTAATTAATTTTGGATTTCAATAAAAAATTAGAATTCTTATATCAAAATTTTATATTCCCCACCCATTACAATTATCTAATTACAATAAAAATTATGAAAAGGTTCACTAATATGTGTGGGTTACATATAAAATTTTAATAGTTCTCCCATAATTCTAAATTATGATTATTTAATTGTATTATATTATGATAAGTAATATGCTCCCAAAAAAGAAACATGAGCCACTGGCCAGATCCTTCAGCTCATATACATATACTATACTAAGACTTATTTTCTAGTACCATTTTATTGGTTGTCATTTGTAATTATCATAACATAATTCCTATCTTTCATGGATCAGAATGGCAAATTTTGACAAGTTTGGAAGAGTTAGTTTTAGAAAACTCATCTCTCTCTTCCTATTTCATTCAAGATATTGAAATGTTGATTGCTCTTAAAAATTTGTACGTGTTCAGTTGTGAGCTCAATGATTGCCTCAACTTACAAGGTAAATTAAATCTTTCAGTTTTTCACGTATTAAGTAGTAGTATCATTTTCTTAGTTGTTATTTGTAATTATGTCTTTCATAAAATAATTCTTAACTATTATTAAATTGAATTGCAGAATTTGACAAGTTTAAAAAACTTGGTATTAAAATATTCATCTTTCCTTTCCAACTTTATTCAAGATATTAAAATGGCAACTTCTTTTAAAAAATTGCAAATGTTTGATTGTGATATCAACGGCAGACTCAATTTACATGATAAATTGGATCTTTTAAATTTATAGTTACATATCATTTTTTTAATATTTTGGATGTCCCTTACCCCTAGCCATTCAAATAAGCATTACATATATTTAAAATAACAAGAATTCTGTAATGAATGTATCAATCATATAATTCTAATTAAATTAGTTATTAATAAAAAAGAAAAAGAAAAACAGTTTAGTAATTATATATTTATCAAGAAAAAAAAGGAAAATTGTTAATTTTAAGTCATCGACCGTTTTGTTTATTATCATTAACAATATTTATTTGAATTCCTTTTATAAGCTTGTTGATATATATTTTTAATTCTTTTTTCTAAATTTAAAACAGCACCTTCATTAATTGACTTAAGAGTTAAAATAACTATTTATTTTTATATAATTGTTAAAGTTGTAATTTATGTCAGGATGTGAGTATATTATTAATTGTATACATATAAGATATCATTTTTTTTTCAATTAAAATATATGTTTTTGTATTATTTTTTTTTAAATAGGTCCACTACATTTGAAGAATTTGGAAACCTTGGTCATACAGGACACTTCCTTGGAAAACAACTTTATAGAAAAAATTGGAGTAATGCCTTCTCTCAAGATTCTGAAATTAAGCGATTGTGGACTCAACGGCACCATACAGACCCAAGGTTGAGATTGATATTTGCCCTCTCTTGTTTTCTGCTTTCTATTTGTTTCAAATATACCTTACTTTTATTTTAAGTATTCCCTTTGTCCTATACTCATTTGAAAATTTTTCTCAAACAAAATGTTACTGATCTTCAAATATTACCCTTCATCGTAACTACTTAACAAGTATATATCGAAAACTACTAACTACTAGACAAACACCAATATATTACTTCTGTTTCTTTTTATCTCTCTAAATTTCGTGAAAAGTCGATAAGTGATAATATCCAAAATGATGGAGAGACTACTTATTTGTTTTTATTTATTTTTTCTTCTAGTGTATGCATAGCACCCTCTTTTTTTATTTGATATAATTATAATGGTACCTTTGCAGGTTTTTGTGAAATGAGAAATCTCCAAAACTTGGATGTTAGTGGCAATAATCTAAAAGGCAACTTACCCGAGTGCTTCTCCAACCTCACATTCCTTGAAAATTTGGATCTCTCCTCCAATCAGTTTTCTGGAAGTATATCTACCCTTAAAAGTTTAACATCCCTTGAAAGATTAGATCTCTCATCCAATCAATTTTCTGGAGATATATCTGCCCTTAGGAGTCTAAAATCCCTCGGAACGTTGAGTCTTTCAAACAATTACTTTGAAATCCCAAGCTCATTAGGACCCCTGTTCAACCTTTCAAAACTCCAGTCCATCTTTGCAGACAACAATACCATATATGCTGAAACCGAGATGCATTTTTTGGCCCCAACATTCCAACTGAATGAGATCAGCATGTCTTGTTGTGGAGATGCTGGATCATTTCCTCGATTCCTCTATCATCAACAAGACTTGGTCTCTGTTGATCTCTCTAACATCTATTTCAAGGTAGAGAAGTTCCCAATTTGGTTATTGGAAAACAACACAAAATTAGAGACGTTAATTCTAAGCAATAGCTCTCTATCGGGACCTCTTCTGCTACCGTTAGCTCCACATTTGGGTTTATCAGAGTTTGATATCTCCAACAATTTCTTCAATGGTAGCATTCCAGTAGAAATTGGAGCAAAACTACCATCATTAAGTTTTCTTAACATGTCAAAAAATCATTTTGGTGATAGCATTCCAGATTCTATCGGTGATATGAATTCCATACAAACCTTGGACTTGTCTAACAATAACTTGACTGGTGGAGTACCGGAGCCTTGGCCATGGGTTGCTCCTCATTAAGTTTTTTTATATTATCAAACAACAGATTGCAAGGCCAGATGTTCCCTTCAAATTTTAACTTGACAAACTTGAGCGAGTTGAGATTGGATGGGAATCACTTCTATAGAAGGATCCCAGATTGTTTGTCTAATTGCTCCTTTTTGACAACATTGGATGTTAGCAATAACAAACTTTTTGGTGGGATACCTAGATGGATGGGGAATATGTCAAGTTTGAAAGAAATTGTCATGGCAAAAAATAATCTTGAAGGTCCAATCCCGGAGGAGTTTTGCCAGCTCAACCTTAAACTTCTGGATCTTTCAGTGAACAATATCTCTGGGAATCTGCCATCTTGCTTCAGCCGCTTACGGAGCAGTCAAGTCCATTTATCAAGAAACAAGCTACAAGGGCCACTCATAAATGCGTTTCGTAACAACACTTTCTTGGTGACATTAGATCTCAGCCATAACCACTTAACTGGAAACATTCCAAATTGGATTGGTAGTCTTTCTCAGTTGAGTTATCTTCTCCTAAATAACAACCACTTTGAAGGTGAGATTCCGGTTCAGTTATGCAAGTTGAGCCACTTAAGATTGATTAGTCTTTCAAATAACCATCTTTCTGGTACAATTCCTCCTTGCCATGTCGCTGCTGTTGCACAAGCTCCCAGTTCTTTCTCCACTGAAGACCCAATAGAGTTCACAACAAAAAACATATCCTACTCTTACAAGGGAAGAGTCCTCACTTATCTGTCTGGAATTGATATCTCTTGCAACAATTTGACTGGTGAGCTTCCCCCCCAAGTAAAAAACATCCAAAATGTCCGCATTTTGAATGTGTCTTTCAACAGTTTGACAGGACCAATCCTACCAACAATTTCTGAACTCAGGCAAATTGAGAGTCTCGATCTTTCTCACAACAACTTCAGCGGGAAAATCCCATCTCAACTTGTGGGGTTAAATTACTTGTCTTTTTTCAGTGTGGCATACAACAATTTATCTGGAAAAACTCCTGAAAGGACTGCGCAATTTGCAACATTTGAGGAAAGTAGCTACCTGGGAAATCCTTTTCTTTGTGGCGCACCGCTGCCAAACAACTGCTCGGATGGACCATCATCATCAATGCCAAAGGCTTCAAATGACAACGGTTCAATTGACATGTATATCTTTTATGTAAGTTTTCTTGTGTCTTACTTTATGGTGCTACTGGGTATTGCCAGTGTGCTGTACATTAATCCTTATTGGAGAAGAGCATGGTTCTATCATATAGAAGCAGGCATCAATTCCTGCTACTATTTTGTGGTAGACAATATTCTTCCTAAACGATTCCATTGCGGAAATATGTAGCCAAGCCATGTTCAGTTGTTCAACTTTTCTCTTTGTTAATGACTCTTGACCTAGTGGTTTGTCATAAAGGATTCCATAGTAACTAAAAGGCAAACATGTGTACATAATACATCCAAGACGTCATTAAACACCACTAGAAGGGCAAAACTACATCATACTGGATATGTTTGATCAAGAAACATTATATTCCAGCACCAACTAACAACGTGACAGATGACTGTAACCCCAACTGACCCAATCAAACCCAACAACCAACATTGCCCACCAAAATACCCGTTTAGCCCGAAAAAGACTATCCATTTAATCCAGAATCAAGTGCCTCTCCAGCCATGGAAAATTCTGTTTAAAACATTATTTTCACCATAAAAATGTAAACTCGCATATAATATATATATATATACATATATATCATAGCAAATGAATTAAGTTTGTAGATTCTGCAGCATGAAACAATATGATATTCTGATATGCACCATGGAACAAACTTAGTTAACATCTTTAGGCCAAGATGCAGTGATGAATTTATAATGCAACATACCAATTGGATGCCAAGAAACATAAATAAAAACAATAAAACAGATGCAATTTCTAATGATCAAAAATTTACATCCCCAGTAGCTAAGTTACCGGAATAGTAGGCAATCAAAGTAAGAAGAATTTCATCCCCACACATTAAATTTTAGATAACTATATAATATAGCCAATAATAATTTTATTTCTTAGTAAAGTAGTGGACTCTATATTTCAAGATTTAAATCTTAAATACAAAAAAAAAAAAAAAACTATACAATATAATAAATTATTATAACAATTTACTATATACTTATCAAAAGCGTTTCATTTATATTTTTTTAATTATAATTCAGCAATTATCTCACTAAAAGGAACAAAATTTTGGTAATAAAAAAATTTGTTAAAAATGATCATATTTCCCTCGGAAAATATCATTTCGGACGAAATTTTCATAAAAAATTTAAAACTGTTAAAAATATTTTATGAAAACAAAAGATTTCGTTGGTAATAGAATAACTTTATTGATCACTTTGTTTTGAGTTAATTAAAAAGGTTGGGTAATGGGGAAAGCCCTGGTTATGGAGTTTAACACATGTATAGGATAATAAATTAATAATCATACTCCAAATCTGTAGGTGCTAATCAGATAATATTGTTCTCACAATATTGTTAAAACTGAGACTTTTATATATATGAAGAAGTCTCAAATTTTTATTCATTATATTGATAGAGAGATTTATATAGAAACAAAAACAAATAATAAGATCCACAAGCGGAAGAAAAATATCAAATAACAGTTAAAAAAGAGAACAAAGGAAAACCCATTTATAAAACAAGAAAAAAAAAACTTAATATGAAATTAACAAGAGATTTGTGCGTTCCCAAAATTTAAAAAAAAAAAGTAAAAAAGAAAAAAAATGCAAAGATAAACTGTCCGATCGATTCTCTTTCTTATGTGACAATATCAGAACTGTACATTGTTATGGCACTGTGTCTCGAATTTATTAGCATCCTTTTGTAATAAATTAAATTGAATGAATCATTTTGAAATATGTCTGGTTAAGTTGAAATCTTAGTCAATGGGAGACATTGTTTCAAATTAACAAGAATATATATGATAATCGTTGAAAAATTTTTGAAAATAAATTATATTGGAGATTGCACCAAAACTGATTCATCCCACACAGTACGAAACGGCTCTGACGATGAGAAAGAAAATGGTTTGCTGGACAAGTATTTCTTTTATGTGAGCTTTTTGATTTCTTATGCAACTGTGTTAATGGAAATCGCTGCCACGAGCATGTAAGGGTGCACTCTTACATAAATCCATACTGGCGACGAGTATGATTTTATTTCATTGAGCACTGCATCAGCAATTGCCACTTTTTTTTTAAAAAAAATTTCGGACAATCTTTTAAAACTGTCCATCTTGAACAGACGAAGAACTTAACCTTATGCCTTGGTGGTTTTACGTTGGTATGAATATGCTGTTTATGTCTTCTGTTACTCAAAACGTTTGGTTTGGTGATTTTTGGCTTTGTAAACTATGAAAGTTACACCGGAATGCATCTCTGTTTCTGCAATAATTAATTATTGACAGCCGATAAATTAAATTAAATAAGTTCGTGAATTTTAGTTTAAAATATCTAAACTATAATAAATTAAATAGGAGGGTTGGATTTATAACAAAAAATCAACAAATATTCTTCAGAAATTATAAAATTTACGAAATTCTATTAAAATTATAAATTTTACAAAAAAATTAAGAATATTATACAACTTATTGAAAAGACAGAATCTAAATTATATTATACATATAATTTTTATTAAAGCAAAAACTCACTTAGTTTATATTATTTTAAAATTAAAAGATACCTTCAAACTAGTATCGGAGAAAAAAATAGCACATCATTAGTATACCTATTTCTCTTCCTTAATAATTAAATTATTTTTTAAAAATATATATATTTATCAAATATTTAACAAAAAATAAATGGATATTACATAATGAAATCAATAATTAAATAAAAATAAATTATATAATCTAACTCCCATTACATAGTGGGTAACTTTTTAGTTTCGAAATTATTTGTATCAGTTAATATTTATAATACTATAATTAACTAATTATAAAAAAATCATTTCTTAAAAGCGTGAGCTTCACATAATTTTTTTTTTTATGAATCTTACATAATATTAAATTATAATTGATTAATTATATTATAATAATTATAAGTAATATACTCCCCTCTTGATAGACCATAAACCATTTATCAAGCAAAACCAAAAAACACGACAAATAGTGTAACAGAAATAACTTTTTGTTTTTATTTGACTAATGTCATACCAAAATTATATCTTCATTTTCAAACGGGTTTATAGTATGAATGATGTTTAAATTATAATAAAATATTTAATATGATACTTAAATTTTAAAATTTTTTAATATTATATTTAAATTATAAATTTATTAATTGATATGATAATTACATCTAATTTGATTAATTTCAAATAATGTCATGAAATACATAAATAATTTTTTAAATATCATATTAGCTAAAAAATTTATTATTTAAGTATTATATTAAATATTTTTAAAATTTAAGTATCAAATTAAATACTTTACTATAATTGAAATACCATTCATAACATTAACTCTTGTCAAATCTCTCTCTAGCTTTTAGGCTCCTTTCACCGAAAGTCATTTATAATTGTTTTAAAAAAAAGTCAAATTGTATAATTAATCTTTATACCGTAGTTAACACGCAGATTTAATCCCCTTATATTGAAAATGCAAATTAGTTTAAAAGATCTAAATAATTAAATTTAATAAGAGGGTTGGGTTTATTAAAAAAATGAAACAAATATTCTTCAAAAATTATAAATTTTATAAAATTCTACTAGAATTATAAATTTTTCAAAAGAAAAATTATACAAATAAGACGAAATTTCAATAATTGAAAGAGGTATAAACATATACTGTTTATAGATTAAAAAACTCAATTGATTTATATTCTTTTAAAATAAAAAATTAAACCTTCAATTAAACATAGCCAAGAAAAATAACAAATTATTAATATACCTATTTTTTTCCTTAGTAATAAAATTTTAAAATATGCATATTTATCAAATATTTAACAAGAATATAAATAGATATTATCATAACAAAATCAATAATTGAATAAAAAATAAATTATATATCTTAACTTCCTTGCATAGCAAAAATTTTTTAATTTGAAATGATTTGCATAAGTTGATTTCAAATCACAGGTCCATTGATAGACCATAAACCATTCATTAAGCATAACCAAAAAACACGGTAAAATTCTATTTCATGTTGACGTCTAAGTCAAAGTCTCCTAAATAGTAATGCAATCTGTTAAACAAAAGTCTATGCATCAATTCATCATGACCCCAACTTGATACGTAGAAAAGCTACAGTGCGCCCTAATTTCTCCTCTTAGTTATGGAAATATTTAATATTGATATGAAATTTGACAATAACCTATAAGGCTGGCAAACCCAAAAAAAAAAAAAAAAAAAAAAAAAAAACTAAATAAAGGCTTTGCTTAGTATTATTTATTGATGTGCTTGGTTAGAAAAATAATTGAAATTTACATTGACTTGCCTTATTTTTATAGTTTTAATTTTACATTAACATCGTAGGTAATAAAATTTATGTTAATCTAATATATTTTACACATGGTACAAGGCTTACTTGTTGATGTAAATTTTAATTAGTGTACGAATTATTAATTTCAGTTATTTGTACAATATGTAATTTTATTTTATATACTTATTATTTAAAAATATTTACATGCAGGTATATGATAATAAATACTAAAATAAATGCAAAGAAACGTTAAATATCCATTTAAACTCAATAGAAATGAAATGTATCCAAATTTTAAGTCGGACGGTCGATTTCATGGTTTAAACCTAAGCCAAGGTCTTTTCGATAAAGACATCAACTGATCATGACAATTGCAATTTCCACCTTATGACGTTATAATTGGGCAGAATTTTCTCATTGATATGTAGTCGTGGAATATTGGTATATGGAATTTGACAATAACCTAGTTAGGCAAATAATAATAGTAGTAGAAAATACTTTTCTCATTTTTATGAATATTTACCAAACTATTGAACACACTATAACATCAAATTATTCTTTACCTATTACTAATATTCTCTCGTTCTCAAAATAATTATTCTCTATTGATTTTTTGTCAAAATAATTTAACTTTGATCTTTATTCTGAAAATATTATATTAAATTAAAATTTTAATAAATATGTTTTGAAAATTTTAAAATTCAAAATTTTCAATATTTATTTTAAAAAAATTTTAATTTTATAATTTTATTAAAAAAATACCAAAATTAAGTTAATTTAAAAAAAAAACGGACAACTATTTTCAGACAGAAAGAGTATGGCATTAACCAAAGTAACAATAACAAAATAAAATTTACAATACCAAAATAAAATTCAATATTTGTTGGATGGATGAGATTGTAAGAGAATATAGGAGTCAATACAAAATTTACAATTGAAACATTGGTAAATGAAAACATTTAATTTCAAAAAAATAAATAAATAAATTTCAATCCCAATAACGTCCTAATTTGTGGAAAATAATAAAGTATAGCGTGAATTGGGTCGAAACTGGTTCATCCCAAGCGGTACAAAATGCCTCAGATGGTGAGGAAGAAAATGGTTTGGTGGACAAATATTTATTTTATGTGAGCTTTTTGGTTTCTTAAGCAATTGTGTTAATTGGAATTGCTGGCACATTTTTTTGTACATAAATCCATATTAGCGACCAGCTTGGCTTTTATTTTATTGAGCAACGCATCAACATTTGCCACTTTTTTATTTCGGACAATCCTTTAGAACTGTTCATCTTGATCAGAAGAAGAACGTAGCCTTATGCCTTGATGATTTTTAAGTATGAATACATTGTTCATGTCTTCTGTTGCTAAAAAAGTTTGGTTTAGTAATATTTTGTTTTGTAAAATTACGAAAGCTACAATAATTGATTATTGATCGCTGAGAAATTAAATTAAATAATTTCGTGCAATTTAGTTTAAAATATCTAAACTATAATAAATTAAATAGGAGGGTTAGATTTATTAAAAAACACAACAAATATTCTTCAAAAATTATAAAATTTACAAAATTCTATTAAAATTATAAATTTTACAAAAATTAAAAATATTATACAAACTTATTGAAAAGACGGAATTTAAATTGTTGAAAGAAATATATACATATAATTTTTATTAAAGCAAAAACTCACCTAGTTTATATTATTTTAAAATTAATAAATACCTTCAAACTCAATAAAAAATAGCACATTATTGGCATACCTATTTCTCTTCCTTAGTAATTACATTTTAAAACATACATATTTATCAAATATTTAATAAAAAAAATGGATATTACATAATGAAATCAATAATTGAATAAAAATAAATTATATAATCTAACTCCAATTACATAGTGGGTAAGTTTTTAGTTTGAAAACGATTTATGTCAATTAACGCTTACAATACTTTAATTAATCAATCATAATAAAAAATTGAATAAAAATTAAAATCATTTAAAAAGTGGGCTTCACATAATTTTTTTTTATGAATTTTACACAATACTAAATTATAATTAATTAGTTGTATACAGTGATTGTAGGTGGTATACACTGCCCTTGATAGATCATAAATCATTCATCAATCAAGCAAAACCAAAAATCACGGCAAACAATATAACAGAGATAACTTTGTTTTTATTTGACTAATACCGTACCAAATTTATATCTTCATTTTCAAACAGGTTAATAATATGAATAATATTTTATTGTAGTATAATATTTAATGTAATATTTAAATTTTAAAAATTTTTAAAGTAATATCTAAATTATAAATTTATTAATTAATACAGTACTTACTCCTAATGTGATTGACTCTAAATAATGACATGTGATCACAAACAATCATTCAAGTATAATATTAATTAACAAATTCATAATTTATATCTCATATTAAATATTTTTAAAATTTAAATATTATATTAAATATTTTACTATAATTAAATGATCAAGGATAGTCAAACTCTTATCTAACTTAGGCCCTTTTCATCGAAATTCATTTATAACTGTCCTCAAAAAATAAATCAAATTGTAAAATTAATCCCTATACTATAGTTAAAAGGCAGATTTAATTCTTTTATATTGAAAATGCAAATTAGTTTAAAAGATCTAAATAATTAAATTAAATAGGGGGTTAGGTTTATTTAAAAATGCAACAAATATTCTTCAAAAATTATAAATTTTACAAAAAAAAATTATATAAATTTATTGACAAGACGAAATCTAAATAGTTGAAAGAAGTATAAACATATATTGTTTATTGATACAAAATTCAACTAATTTATGTTCTTTTAAAATAAAAAAATTATACCTCCAATTAAACATAGCCGAGAAAAATAGCAAATTATTAGTATACCTATTTTTTTAATAATTAA